TTCAGGGGTTAGACCTTGTTCGATTGAGTGAGAAAGGGAACTTGCGGCTATGATTTCTAACATAGAGATATAAATACGGAAATAGATAAGGAAAGAACTCAGCTGGTACTGGAGATGGAGAAAAGAAGGAAGAAGCTGTTTTCCCAGAGACCAGGTTTGTTGAATTTGGTGTAGTGATAATCAGTAGTTAGAAATAGAGGGCCACCAAGGCTGCCCTGTTATTCATTTTTAACTGAAAATAACTATTTAATAATAGCAGAAGGGGAATTAAAAATCGCGGTAATGGTCTTTTAAAAATTTAAAGACTCTGCATTTGAAATGTATCCAGCCACATGTGACACCAGACACTTAATTGGTTACGGTGTATATTTTTGGCTACAAGGGGAACAATTGTAGGGACCAGGGTTTGGATTAATGCCGGAGCGAAGGAGAAAGGTCAGTGTTAGCAGACGGAGAAACCTGGCAGGCTTCAGACGCTCCATAACTGAAAACTCGGAGGATTCTGACCCATGGGGGTGGGAGCTTGACGTCATTTGCCACCTGGTAAGCCTTGCAGTCAAATCCACCTTTTGAAGGCGGCTATTTTGGATCCATTAACGGTATATATATCGGTGGTAAGGGCGGTAAGCATGATTGATTTTGATTTGTTTTTGTGAATACTACTTAACTTTAGTCGAACTTCGTAGCTTGCTGGCAAAATATTAACTAATTTTTTGCTGCCTTGCACTATGGATGTGGGAGATTTGTCGTCATCTTGATTTCGGTTGGAAGATATCCACTGTGTCCTTAAGGTTTTTTTTACTATCCTCAATAATCTTGCTCAAAATATCTGCTTCTTCTTCTGATGATTTTTCGGGATTCTGTTTTATAGCCCATGCGCTCTGTTAGTTTTCATAGCCTTGCTCCAATTTACTCCAATTTACTCGATTTACTGTTCGATGTATGCCTAAATACGTTACTGTGACCTAGTTAATACTTCGCTTGTTCTGAGTTGGGCGAAGCGTCTGAAGTTCACTTAAGTTGTCTTATATCTGTCCATTTTTGATACCAATTGCAAGTTATTAAGTTGTCTTCAGGCACGTTGCTTTTGATATAAAAGAACAGTAAGTTCACTCTTTCATTAATCTTCTTGACGATAAGCTGTAAGATTGGATGCCGGCAATTAGCAGCGTCAAAAACCTTCTTGGATTGTCTGTAATCGTTCTTTCGATGTCGCTCACATACATGAGGAACACCTAACCTGTGGTGTAGCTTGTTGGCAGCCCTTCGGCAGCATCCATAATGCCACACCGTCTCGTATAGGCCACGTATACATCATCTGACTTTTCATTTTTGACATTTAACGCCTTTATCTGTAGAAAACTTTTTATTGCAGCATGGGCTTTCGTGATTTATTTTGTGATTCATATGTAACTTTGGGCCGTAAGGTGGGTGATCTGAGGTGAAGTCGTTTTTGAGCCGATTGTCCATGTATACGTCTAGTATGATATCAGGATTGTTGCAGAGCAGGATATCCAGGCTCTTTCCAGTATCGGTTATGATGAATTGTTCCAGGTTTAATTCCTGGAACTTGTCTAGGATGCTTTGTTCGTTCTCGCATTTTGATGAGAGTGATTTCCAATTTGTACACGAGAAGTTGATATCTCCAACAATGACAAGATTTTGTATGCCTTGCTCGCGTTGTGTTGCTTTTTTTGAGTTCAGCAATGAATTAAGTTGATCTAGTGACCATCGGTATGGGCTATACACAGGGGCACAATATATACAGCAGACAAGTATTGGTACAGATATCTTGAGTTGAACCATTTCGCAGTCTTGCATGCCTGTATCAATGCGGTTATGTGGTATTTTGGCGTTGATGCCAATTAGAACTCCTCCGTGTTTTGATAGACCGGCTTTTGAAGTTCTTTCAGATCGATAGAGTTCAAATTGAGGCAAGAATATGGAGTTTTCTGTTACGTCGTTGGTTAACCATGTTTCGGTTAGGCAAAGTAGTTGGTATTGACAGCTTGTGTTTATCGCATTTGCGAACTTGATCTTCGATTGTAGTCGAGTATGCTTCGGACGTTGTAGATGAGTAGGCTAGGAAAGAGTTCTAGTCAATTGGAGATTGAGTTCTCCGTTTTTTCGGTTGCAACTGCTGTCCATCTGTTTTCTATTTTCTGGTAGAGTTTTCCATCGCGGATGCGCAGGTTTAGTTTATCAATGTTTTCGTTTATGAGCTCCCGCCGTTTTTGCAGTGCTTGATTTTCAAGTTTTGCTTCATCCACTGATAGCTCGCGGCTGACAAACACAGGTTTGTCATTTGTTTTTAGGCGGCAAGCGGATGATAGTATTAGTCATTTCTGCCAAATTGGGACTTTTACCAGTATGGTTCGGTCCTTGCCTTCCTGTCGTTGACCCATCCGGAACAAATCAACTATCTCTGGCACAATTTGCATGTGCTCCAAGATTTCCTTTACTTGTTGGAGGTCATTTTCTTGTCTTTTTCTTTGATCTTTGTGGTTTAGTTCAGGGATGCCGCGGATGCGGATTCCGTTTTGATTTTCTTGTTTCGGCATTGCGTTTATCGGTACCTTGGTTTTTGCTTCTGATTTGATCTCATTTGGCTTCATTGTGGTTTGGAAGAACAGCGTTTTAATCTCCTGTACGTTTTTTCTGAGTTCGTCCATGTCCTCTTCAATCTTCTTGAATTGCTTCGGCGAGGTTTTTTCAGCGTCACTGACTGCTTTTCGGAGTCTCTCGTATCCGTTGGAATCCACACATTTGTTGCAGAGTAGAGCAATGTTTTTTCCCAGTGTCTTAATACCATTGATTGCTGTATCGCTTAGGCTGGTACAGCTTTTCGTCAGGTGCATTTTGCAATTACACACGATGCAACAGAATGTATCTTCATTCTTTTTGATTTTTTGTTGGCAAGTTTCGCATACGGATTCACGGAATCAGTGGTCATTTCACGATTTCGTGTCATATTTGTTTGGTGAGGACTCCGAGTCAAAAGACTCAAAGAGTACACTCAGTTATATACTAATGTAGTGAAACTAGAAAGGGACTCCGAGTCAAAGGACTCAAAGAGTACAACCAGTACGAGTTTTACTAACCGTTTTATTGTGGAGTTGCTTAGCGTTGCCTCTTCTTGGCTCTTCGTCGATTCTTCGATGGTTTGCTTTTCGTGGAGCGGGTCTGAAAGTATCCAGGAGTTGCTGAGTCGTAAGGGGTTTGATCTTTTTAAACTCTGTGATCGAATTGTTGATAAGATCGGGCCACAGTATAATAGATTTGCTCGTTGCTCGTATATAATCGGTAACGTTTTTGAATTTAAAATTCGTCCTTGGGTTCAGGTTAAATCCACCCTCGGCGTAGACAATTTGCTTTACTATATTTTTCTGTTCAGGGGTTAGACCTTGTTCGATTGAGTGAGAAAGGGAACTTGCGGCTATGATTTCTAACATAGAGATATAAATAAGGAAATAGATAAGGAAAGAACTCAGCTGGTACTGGAGATGGAGAAAAGAAGGAAGAAGCTGTTTTCCCAGAGACCAGGTTTGTTGAATTTGGTGTAGTGATAATCAGTAGTTAGAAATAGAGGGCCACCACGGCTGCCCTGTTATTCATTTTTAACTGAAAATAACTATTTAATAATAGCAGAAGGGGAATTAAAAATCGCGGTAATGGTCTTTTAAAAATTTAAAGACTCTGCATTTGAAATGTATCCAGCCACATGTGACACCAGACACTTAATTGGTTACGGTGTATATTTTTGGCTACAAGGGGAACAATTGTAGGGACCAGGGTTTGGATTAATGCCGGAGCGAAGGAGCAAGGTCAGTGTTAGCAGACGGAGAAACCTGGCAGGCTTCAGACGCTCCATAACTGAAAACTCGGAGGATTCTGACCCATGGGGGTGGGAGCTTGACGTCATTTGCCACCTGGTAAGCCTTGCAGTCAAATCCACCTTTTGAAGGCGGCTATTTTGGATCCATTAACGGTATATATATCGGTGGTAAGGGCGGTAAGCATGATTGATTTTGATTTGTTTTTGTGAATACTACTTAACTTTAGTCGAACTTCGTAGCTTGCTGGCAAAATATTAACTAATTTTTTGCTGCCTTGCACTATGGATGTGGGAGATTTGTCGTCATCTTGATTTCGGTTGGAAGATATCCACTGTGTCCTTAAGGTTTTTTTTACTACCCTCAATAATCTTGCTCAAAATATCTGCTTCTTCTTCTGATGATTTTTCGGGATTCTGTTTTATAGCCCATGCGCTCTGTTAGTTTTCATAGCCTTGCTCCAATTTACTCCAATTTACTCGATTTACTGTTCGATGTATGCCTAAATACGTTACTGTGACCTAGTTAATACTTCGCTTGTTCTGAGTTGGGCGAAGCGTCTGAAGTTCACTTAAGTTGTCTTATATCTGTCCATTTTTGATACCAATTGCAAGTTATTAAGTTGTCTTCAGGCACGTTGCTTTTGAAATAAAAGAACAGTAAGTTCACTCTTTCATTAATCTTCTTGACGATAAGCTGTAAGATTGGATGACGGCAATTAGCAGCGTCAAAAATCTTCTTGGATTGTCTGTAATCGTTCTTTCGATGTCGCTCACATACATGAGGAACACCTAACCTGTGGTGTAGCTTGTTGGCAGCCCTTCGGCAGCATCCATAATGCCACACCGTCTCGTATAGGCCACGTATACATCATCTGACTTTTCATTTTTGACATTTAACGCCTTTATCTGTAGAAAACTTTTTATTGCAGCATGGGCTTAAGCCACTCAAAAACTCTAACGGCTGTACCACTGCTGGAATTTTTTTGTTTTGTTACTCTTTTGAACTTTAAATGCAGGTTTTTGAAAAAAAAGACTGGATTTTTATTTGGCCTCCTTGAGTTAATGGACTTTTTTCCAATTGTCTATTGGCTATGTGAATCTGGCTGACCAGTGTAGCTGAGTTGAAGATGTTTTTAATGTGGGTGAATTGTTTGTTTTCAGGAGTAATGAAACTCAGTGATTTATTTGTCTTCTGTGCAGTTTTGGTGGCTGCTCATGCAGATCATAAAACTCTGATCTTAGTTGAAAATTATGGCGTCAAAGAGACGCATTCTATTTTTCTAGGCTATCTTACCGGATCAGGGCATGAACTGACATACAAAATGGCCGACGACTCTACATTAACGCTTTTTCAGTTTGGGGAGCTCGTATACGACAATGTAATCATTCTCGCGCCGTCTACCCAAGATTTTGGTGGCGACTTGAGCTCGGCTACTTTCGCCGAGTATGTTGATTCTGGTGGAAATGTATTCGTTATTGCTGACTCTTCAATTGGAGATGCCATTCGCGATTTTGGTTATGAGTGCGGAATTGAGTTTGAGGAATCTGGTACGAAGGTAATTGATCATCTTAACTTCGATTTTGCCGATGAAGGGATGCACTCTCGGCTGTTTATCGACCCAAAACAAGTAATGGACAACAAATTGATCACTGGCGGTGTCCCTGTGCACCCTGTTTTGTATGATGGCATTGGCATGCTTTTAGATGACGAAAACGAACTTCTCATCCCAGTCATAACTGCTACGTCAACCGCTTACAGTTTCTTTCCAGCCGATAAAATCACCGAGCATCCCGAAGCTGTAGGAAAAAGTACGACTCTTATCACTGCTCTTCAGGCTCGAAACAATGCCCGAGTGATGTTTGTAGGCTCATTAGAAATGCTCTCTGACAAAATGATCCTCTCGCCAGTTAAGAAAGCAGGTACCGATAAACTTCACCCCAGTAACGGAAACGCTGCGCTGATCCAGTCGCTTCTAAACTGGACCTTTAAAAAAGTGGGAGTATTGAGAATTGCCGAAGTCAATCATCATCTCAAAGGAGAAGTTGAGCCTCCTTCGTATTACACGATTACTGAAGACGTCGAATACAAGATCAAAATTGAGGAGAAAATGGATGGAAAATGGGTTGAGTTCAAGAATCAGGATGTGCAGATGGAGTTTGTGCGAATCGACCCATTCGTGAGGCTTGCGATGAAAAAGGAAAAGGGATTTTATGTTACGAAGTTCAAGCTTCCAGACGTGTACGGTGTGTTTCAGTTCAAGGTCAACTACAAACGAGAGGGATACACTTTCCTCTCTAGCGCCACTCAGGTAACTAGCCTGTAGATTAGTTTTTCATGAATAGAGCGAGGGCTTAGTTTGCGGCCATTGTTCGAGTTGCTAATGCCATTCTTTTGGTTACCCTCTCATATTACGAAAGTCTAGCAAACGTGTGGACTTTTTCCCGCTTGTTCTAGCGAACTTCGGGATCCTAAGGTCGGGGTGAAAGTCCCGGCCGGACTTTGTATTTTGGATATTCTTGGAAATTATTTTCTGGGAAACTTAAATGTCAGACTATCGTTTTTCTGCGCATTTTCGTCGGTTTACTTTCCACGACATAGATTTTTTTCATGTACAAGCTGACTATCTTTGTATAGCAAATGATGCGAAGTTCTGCTAATATTACTATAATTTTTTTGGTTTTCTTGGTATACTATTATAAGTTTTTAATAATACAAATTATTAACACAGAAGCAAAACAGAGCTTCGCAACACATTGCATGCTCGCCCATGCAAATATTGCCAACAGATGGGTCGAAAAGGGTAAAAAGATCCAAGGAAACCGACAAATTGATCGAAAAACTGGAGCGCTCTTTAAAATTTGAATATCTTTTTTACCATTGTTATCTATTTAGATAAAAAACTGGATCAATTATTATTTTTCATCCCGCCGTTTTTTCAGAAAAAAAAGTTCATGTATGATACTAGAAGTCATTCTCGTTTTTCGTGGTCTTTACATTTTTGCTGTTCGATTTGCTGTTCTAATGCTGCCACAACAATTTAAACTGTTACAACAATTTATTGGTATATGAGGAATGAGATTTTAGTAGGGTGGCAACTCAGGTATTTTCTGATTCCTGTTGCCGATCTATCGTTTCTATGAACATGATGATCATGGAGACTCGTTTCACAATTGAAAATGACGTTTGTAAGCCATGTTTCAGTCACGGCTGAAACTTATGATTTGTTCGAGACAAGATCTGGTGAATGCGTCTCTCCTTTTTTTTTAGGATAAAGGGCTTCGTGTATCGATAGAAGTGATGAATTGGTAGTGAACATTATGATTTAGAAAGAAAGGAAGAGAAGATGAATTTATTTCTTCAAATTCATAATTATGATAAAATGAAGTATAGAAAGGTTATGAAATTTATGAAATTTCATTTAGTCTCCTGTTTATTTCGATTTCGACTTCTTGTTGGAAGATTTAAGTTTAGCAATGTGATGCATTTTGGTTCGACTTTGGAGTTGATTATTTCTTTTCGCCTCTGTGTCAAAAATTCATTTTTTTAAATGCATTAGAGCTTTAAGTCCATGGCTGCAGTTGTATCTGAAGGTTGCGGGGCCAGGTGCGCAATCGTTTTTTGTTTTCGCGAGTCGCCTGAAATCCAGAAGAGCTAATTTTACATCCATGTGTTCCAATATACTCAGATCGCGCCGCTCGTGTGATTAAATGTTTTCGGAGACTCCGTTTACTCTAGGTTGACAACCGATGTTTGCCACTGGCTGCTCACCAAGATTACAATTGCACCATAGTTATTATAAGCTATTTTTTCAATAAACTGTTGAAGAACTTTTTTGTAGTTAGCTGATAACAGGACAGCTAAAATGGTGTTGGAATAAACTTTCCAGTAATTAAAGATCAGTTAAAATAAATTTTCCCTTACCTTAAGTTTTCAATTTGAAGAGATTTAGATGTTTATATTACATGTGCATAGGTGCCTGTGCGACCTCTGAAGCACAACCAGTACGAGAGGTTCATCCCAGTCGCCTACCCCTACTATGTGAGTGCATTCTCCATGATGATCGGAGTACTCCTCTTCTCCTTCGTCTTCCTACACTACAAAGACCCGACCACCTCCGCTTCCACAAAGCAGAAGTCTCAGTAAACAGAACAACGCTTGAAATGGAACTTAATCCTTCATGAAATTTGCTATTTTCCAGTTCCTCAACTCAAGCTCTCACATCAAAAATAATATTGAACTCCCCCATTAGAAAAGGAAAGGAAGAAAAATGTTGAATACAATTACCTATAATGCATAAATGAACAAAACTTCCATTCTCTAGAAGATTTTGTTCGATTTCAAATTTATATAATTCCTTTCGATTGTCAGGAATTGGAAGGTAGATCATATTACTTGAGATAATGTTATGTTTGTGCATTTACTAGAGGTATCCTTTCTGCATTAAGTCGAACTAGTTTTTCTGGTTTGAAATCAGACCAATTTGTTCCTTGTGTTGTAAATAGGTGAAGGTGTCCCACATTGTAATGAAGTTATAATTACGTCCCTATTAGTGCAGCCAATTGTTATGTGCCCATTTCCTTAGAGTTATTTTTCGAGAAGTTTTGGAGAAAAGATTTTGCTAGAACTTTTACAGGAAAAATTTTGCTAGAACTTTTACAGGAAAAATTTTGCTAGAATTTTTTAAGGTAATAGTTCAAGTTTGTTCCAAAATTTACCAAATGATTGAAGGTTAAAAATTGACTTTCTACTAATTTTTGTGACTTGTACGTTTCATTGTCAAAATCAACCTTTATTGAAACCCGATGTGCTTTTGATGATTTATTTGCATTCAATTGAGTGTGTCCGTTAAATGATGGTTGTACCATTGACTTGATGTAATAATATGTACCTATTATATATACATATCTATTGTCTTTTATCGGCCTAAAAGTTGTACCTTTAATTCATTATTTGGGATAATTTAGTTTTTTTGCTGAAGATGCTTGAATTTTGTTTTACTTGTCTCGCATGCGTACTGACTCTCCCAAAAAGCTAATAGTTTTGCAGCTAGCAGAAAAAACGTCAAAGATGCTATTTCGGTGTGTTGCGAAGGTGGTGACCAGAAAATTTTGGTTTTTTCGAAGCGAGCTGTCAACTCAAAATGAAAGTGCATGTCGGTAGCTCCCCCCTCCTCCTCTAGATAAAATCTGAGATCCACTCCTGGACGATATACAAAACAGTCCAATAAAAATGAGAAAACATAAGGTTGGTTCGGCCCGCCGTATTTTGGTCGGCCGTAATAGGCCATTTGAGTCGTAAAATAGCAAGGTTAGGATTGTGGAATTCGCGAGGAGGACGAGGAAATCCATCCAACCCCTTTCATGCCAACATTTCTCTCGTATTGTTCAAGTAGATGCACATTTGAATGCAAGAAAATGATTTTTTTTTTCAATGATTGACGCCAATTGAAGTCGTGAAATTGGCGAAGAAGAATAGCAATTTTACCGTGAATACTTGATTGATTAATTGTCTCTCCTGGCTTATGTTTGCAAGTGAACGCTGTGATCATGAGTAAAGAAAGTTAAGAAGAAATGTTTATTGCATAATAAGGACGCTTTTAACCGATAACAAAGCTTAAACAACTCTCATGAAAAACATGATAATTAATAATTTCGAATTGTATGGTTCTTGGTTAATATATTTATAACTGCAACAAGTTGGTCACCAATGGCCATGATGACCGTAGTGGCCCCACCCGTATGCATAATGCTCTTGATGATGGGGGGCTGCGTCTTCGAAGTGATTGTAATCCTGAAGCAAAAAATTGTCAGTACAATATAACCATTTCAAATAAAGTTATCTGTTTTTTAGAGCCCCAACGTTTTGAAACAAGCTCAATAAGCAGTTCACGGACAATTTTTCAGAAAATTCCGGACTATTTTTGAAAACCCCATCCGCATGATAAACTTCAATTTAAAGAAGAAATGAACGGGTAAGGGCAAAAATAAAGTTGGGATTGGCATGATTAGATAAACCAACTTATTCCAATTTTTATTTGGTCGAACGAATGCGGTTTTACTTTTTGGGATGCTTTTGAGTTGAAGACGAAAAAATGCATCAGATAGTCTCTGGTATTTGGTTCTAAAGCCTGTTTTTTTGGGTCTCAACAAAAAGTTGTGTATGCCTTAAATGTATACATCAAATGGAGGGGTATTTAAACTTGTACCGCCAAAAAACCAAAACATACTATCTGTATGGCAGCTCCTAGTACTAGTGCTTTCATCTGAACTGTGAGATCTTTGGGGAACTTGAGCACATAATTGTCGGCATTAGTGTAATGTTCCTGAGCCCAATTGGAGAACTCTTTGTATATCTGGCCGATTTTTTGTCCGTCCATTGTCGTCAACTTAGAAATAAAGATTGGAATTAGTAAGTTTGTATAATGTTCTACAGTACGTTGTTGGTCTACAAGCAGCATAAAAACCGGATCTTAGTTTATAATAAATATTCTAAAACAAAGTTTTTTTGTAGAAACGTTAATTAATATTTACGCCATGTTGAAAAGACTTGTTGTGCAGTATTTAATTCCAATAAAGATAATCAACTTGATCTTGCAAAGTTAACAATAAGAGTGGTTATCAACATTATCCAAGGGTGACAGACTGTTCCAAGGACAGCACCTGCTAATAGATTAATAAGCACCACGAATGACAGTTAATTGACAGCTTGCAATTTGAACTAAATAACACTATACGACACTTCCCCTTCAATAGATGAAACTTAAGATGACTGAAAATTTAATGACAACAAGTTGATTAAGAAATACTGATAACAAAAATACTGAGTGCTTAATTAACGAATGAAAAACAACTTTACTGACAACGATTTTTTATCAACTAAAAATCACTAAGCAGTGATGGCGCTTGAGTTTTAGTCAATGAAGACCGACCCTCTCCCTGGGCTAAATAGGCTAATAGTTTTGTTTCATGGTTCAGTTTGATTTTTCCTTTTAGCTTACTTCTTTCCCTCCTTTTCGCTCTGATTGATGAAATCAATCATCACCCCTCCCATTTTGCTCACCGCCGTTCTTTTTCTCCAGCTTCTTCTCGATGCTATAGATCCCGTGTCGTCCTGGCTATCGTCCTGACTGCTATAGGATACTAGTCTGGCCTTCTTTGACGGCCCTTTCTTTTTGCCGGGTGCTTGAGTTGGTTGGTTCCCTGGATTTGATGTAGCCGGATCCCTTGGATTTCTATGCAAATCGCCGCTGCGTGCCGGAATGGTTTCTTGGTCGCTTCCACTATCTGCGTCCCTTTGTTGCATTGCCGTTAGATCTGCGTGTGCGATCTCTGTTGAAGCCGCCGCGGATGGTTGTTTCGTTCGTTTGACCGAAATAATCGGCAGGTTGTCACTGTCTTCCGATTCAGAACCAGTGTTCTCAAATCGGCGGCCGCTTTTCTCCCGTTGTTGCTACTGTGGAGCAATCCTCTTTGTCGCTCGCTCTTTAACTTCCCGCGGAGTTAGCGGTGGTACAATCGATTTTGGTCCTGCTTTAATCTTCTTTGGCGTAGCTTTTGTGGCCACCCCCGATTTCCTAAGCACAACCCCATTATTTAAAGTCAACGTATGCGCGCTCTCTGACTTAACTTTCGAATAAAGCTGTTTATACCTTTTGAGGTTGCGGTTTCCAGTTCGCTGGAATAACAATCCAGAAGGTCCTGGTTGTCCACTGGGGCCCGCGGATTTCAAAATTGACGGTTCATCGTCTTGGTTGGTTGACTGCTCATGGGTTAGTCGGCGTGCGTGGCTCCTGTGGTTTATGTCGTACGCTAAATCCGATCGTACGGCCCAGTTTGTGTCTGCAGAGTGTGGCATATCGTTTGCATTTGGGTCGGCGTTAACTAAACAAGCATTTTTCGTTTTTATAACCCGCGACCAATCCAGATTTTGCAGAGATGATTTTTTTGTAAGGTTTCTTAAGACCGTGTTCGCTTCTCGTCCATGATGCGCCTCAAATGGCGAGATTTTTAATGTTGCATTCTTCGAAAATCTGAGAGCGCCAAGGGCTCTTTCGATCATTTTTTTCAAAGAGTTCGGGGTGTTTTTCTTGGACAAACGTCAGGATGGAATTTTTAAGACTACCTATGGTGCGCTCCACGCATCCAGTTGCCCGGTGATCATTAACATGTGATTTTATTATTTCAATACCCTCCCCATTACAGAATGCTTTAATCTCATTCGACATAAAACTCGTACCCTGATCTACGTGAATTTTCCTTGGCACTCCATGATTTGCTATATAGCTTTTCAAAAACTTCAGTATTTTATCAGATCGATTATTTCCACAGACCATTGCCGAGGGCCAACAAGAAAATCGATCAACCGCCACTAACACATATTTCCGTGATTCATTTAACTAGTTAATGGGCCCCCAAAAATCCAGTTGAACTGATTCATTTGGTTCCTTCGATTCAGGTATATTTCCAAGCTGATTTTTTCTTAAGATCGTTTTTAAGTTCTTATTGGCGGCGGTGCATTCGGGACAGTCCTCAGCTATTGAAGCTATTGATCGGTAAATATACAGGTACCAAACATTTTTCGCTTGATCAAACATGTTGGGTTTCCCGTGATGATTTGCATGAAATCTATTGTTAATCGCAGTTTGTAAGTTCATAGATATTACAAGTTTTTCATCCATCCACACTACGTTCTCCTTTGCCGAAAAATCGTTAACAAATTGAGAATAATAACGGTTCATAGCAGTAATTTTTTCATGAATATTAAATTAGCCCCTTATGACTTGCGTGGTTAATGTCGTACTGTGGTTTATGTCGTCCTAATTGTTCAAGCACAGTCGTCCTAATTGTTCAATCCCTCCGGTCCTAATTGTTCAAGCACAGCACCGAGCCCGTTATGACTTGCGTCGCACACGATCCGAATATCCTTGTGGATATCGAAATGTCGCAATTCAACAATGTTAGACACTTGTTTTTTTAGATTTTCAAACGCATTCTGGCATTCGGGAGTCCAAATGTATTCATTACTTCTACTTAGTAATGGTCGCAACGGCGCGGATGATTCAGCTAACGCTGGCAGATTCTTGTGGAGACTATGTATTGACCCCATGAACGACTTGAGTTGAGTCAAAGTTCGCGGCGGCGTTAATGCTTCGATCGGTTCTGTTTTCCGTACCAGAGGAGTTATTCCAGTTGATGTTGTTTTGTGCCCTAGTCACTCGCATTCCCGTTGTGCGAACCTGCATTTTGATAGTTTTAGAGACATATTTTCCTGTTCCAGTTTTTTTTTAGAATTTTCTCTAGCGTTGCTATATGGTCAATCGCGGTTCCTTTTGATACAACCAAAATATCGTCGATGAACGCATGCGCCTGCGGATATTCCGCAAGAATACAATCCATTGCGCGCTGAAATTCCGCTGGCATCGTAGTGAAACCATAGAATCCGGTCTTGAACCGGCACGTTCCCGTCGATCGACCTCCGATGAGAGAAAAATTACATTGTACACTCGTTTCAGCGCTTAGTGGTAATTGACCATACGCATATGTTAGATCCATCGTTGTAAAAAAATACATCCCCGGATTTTTTTTCGCTAATCGTTTGTCCTACTGTGTCCATTAACTCTTCAATGTTCGGCATTTGATATTTATTCTTATGCACTTGTTTACTTAGTTCCCTGGACTCGAGCGCTAGTTTTGCAGACCCATCCTTGTTTACCTTTATGACGATTGGGGACACGAAATAATTATCCGAGCATTCCGTCAGTTTTTCGATATGCCCTTGTTTCAGTAGTTTATCGATTTCAGTATCCACCTTTTCTTGCAATGAAATGGGAACTCGTCGTCCCTTTTGTTGTACTGGGATGAGGTTTTCAAAAATTCAGCTTGTACTTTATAGTTTCTTATTTCCCCCACCCTATTGAAAAAGTTTGAAAACTGCTTACTGAAATAGGTTTGCCATGAGTCCAACTCCCCCTCTGGCATTGATGGTTCCGGATCCACTTCATCGATGGACCTTATCTGATCCCCTAGTGGTGATTGTTGCACCAACTGTAGTCCGAGCTGAGGCATCAAATCTCTTCCAATTATTGATGGGCGATTTCCTCCTATGACTTTTATTCTTGCGTTTATCGTCCAGCCATTGGATTCTAACGTCACAGCCATCGCTCCAATCATCTGCAGTGGATTGTTCCCATAATCCCGAATTGAACTTTCCTCCTCCGAGAGGGTATCCAGTTTTATCCCCGAAGCTCCCAAGGTTCTTCTCAGTTCACCAATGGTGAAAATTGAAATTGGGGATCCGCTATCAATCCAAACGCGAGTAGATTTCCCATTTACTTTAATCGGCAACTGTGCCCCAGCGATTTTCAATTCCGTGGATCGTTTATGTTTTATCGCCATTACCATATAGTCCCCGTCTGAACTGCTCGAGTCCCACGAGTGCACCACTGGATTCTTGTTTACCCATCCAATGGAACTTGCATGCTGGGACGCTTCTTCGTCCGCTGAATTATCCAGGTGTGTCTCGTCCACATTCTCACGTATCATCCCAACTGCTCCCCGTCCTCGCTGGTTTCCGCGCTTCCCTCTACAGGTACGTTCGTAATGTCCAATTTTATGACAAAAATTACACGTAACTCCTTTTGCCGGACATCTATCTAAATGTTCTCTCGTAAAATTTGGTTGATCGCAGTTGTAGCATCGATTGTTTTGATACAAATTTCCACCTCGGTTCGAGCCTCGCCCTTGATATCAACCTCTGCCTCGTGCGCGATTTTTGCGATATCCTCAACGGATCGTTCCCACCGGTTCGGATTTAATCTGAATCCCACCGCCTGAAGATGATCCTTGGGTTCCCAATGATCCCGTGGCAACATAGGATGTGGCATATTTGTTACCCCGCTCGTACGAGAGGGCTATCCGATAAACCTCCTCCAGTGTTTTTGTTTACCTGCACAGTTCTTTTTGTGCTTCACGGTTATTCATATTGACAATGAATACATCCCTTAGTATACGATCCTCCAATACTCCACAATTGCATCGCGTCGCCAATCCGCTCAGTACGGAATGGAATTGCTCCAAACTCTCATTAATAAACTGTTTCCGAGAGAGAAGCTGATATGTCACGTATGTCTCATTCCTTTCCTTCTTGAATTTCGTCTCCAGTACGTCTATCATCCGTGGGTAACGAACCGTTGAGAGATCCAGATGAGGTCGTCTTTTGTTAAGTTCGTCTTGTCCCTTTTCTCCCAAGCACAAATACAAATTTGAGACCAGAACTTGTTCTGACTCCAGTCGATTCTTCCCATCCACTTCCTCGGGCAAAGCGGTAACTTGAGCGGCAGTGCGAGTCGCTGCGTAATAATAACTTTTCGGATTAATTGAATGCTTA